TGCTCCGGCAGGATCTCCCTGTTCCTAGCCTGTGGGGCTCTGCCCTGGCCCACCTACCTCCTCCCCACGCAGGCCCCGAGTCATTTCCCTTCCCCCACGTCACTGACCCTCACATCCCTCCCAGGGGGCCTGTCTGGCAGAGCTGGGGTCCCACAGCTCAAGTGCCCAAGGCCACGGGGCCTGGTGATGGCGGGCGCTTCCCTAGTTGGGCGTGGGCTGCAGTTCTGGGAACTAAGCAGCAGATGTGCAGCTAACATGCCCAGCCTCCCCACCGCCTCCTCTCAGCCTCCTCCCTCCCCCAGCCCAGCCTTGCCCTCCTACCCCTGGAGGGACACAGGCCCTTCCCGTTCCCAGCGGCCACCTCTCTGTCCTTGCAGGGCCCCTGCCCCCCGGTACCTATGAGCCTGGCCTGCTGTGGGTGCCCCGTGCCCAGGACAGTCCTGTGGCGGCCATTCCTGCGGGAGCGCAGTGCTCTGCAGGCATGTGGGGACGCAGGCCAGTGGGAGGATGCCTGGCCGCTTGCAGATTTGCTGTGGCCCGGTCTGCGCCCTGGAAGACCCTGGAAGAGCAGGTGGCGGAGGGGGCCCAGCCCGGAAACAAGGATGTCAGCTTTCCCTTGGGGCTCCTCCAAGCCTCATATACAATTTCCCTTTATGGCCAGGCCTGCCGGGCTCCAGGGGGAGGTTGGCATGGAGCCCACGTGAAGTGGCCATCTCAGGAACAAAGCTGGGATTCAGGGTTGGGCCACCCCACCCAGCCTTGGAAGGTTGGGTTTCTTTTCTTTTTAAAGATTTTGTTTATTTATTTGACGGAGAGAGAGACAGCGAGAGAGGGAACACAAGCAGGGGGAGCGGGAGAGGGAGAAGCAGGCTTCCCGCGGAGCAGGGAGCCCGTTGCGGGGCTTGATCCCAGGATGCTGGATCATGACCTGAGCCGAAGGCAGACGCTTAAGGACTGAGCGACCCAGGCACCACCTTGGGTTTCTTTTCTTAAGGGGAGTGGAAATTTCCTCTCTTGACTCCTGTCTGACCAGCCTTCCCTCCAGGGCAGGTCCCACCCTTACAAGTCGCAACGGAAAACCACACTGGGTGCCACACGATGACCCATGGCCTCCTCCTCCAGGAGCTTCTGCATTCAGAAGTTGGGGTGGGGCCAGCAGCTGATTCCCTATGAGGACATTCACTTCCCTTGCTACAGAGGACATTGAGGCACAAGAGCTTTTCGGATTCAGTTCTGGGCTGGCAGAGTGGTCTGCCCCAGAGCCTGAATTCTCTCTGCCTCAGCCGCCCACCAACCCCCCCCCCGCCCCCACGGCTGCACCACATCATCAAATCAATAGACACTCAGAAAGCGCCCGTTGTGCACCAGGATCGTGCGGGCACCGGGACCAGTGCAGTAGAATGCAGCCAGCAAGCTCATAAACCTCACAGACCAGCGCGGCCTGGTGGTTACCAGGGCTGTGGGGGAAGGTGGGCTGCTGGGAGGGTTGCCAGCCTCTCAGAGGGGGCGGTGACGGCTGCCATCCTGACCCTGGGAAGGCCGTGAGGACCTCAGGTACAAAGGCCCAGAGGTAAGAAAGGGCTGGAGGGTCTGCAGGGAGGCCCCCGCCATGAGAACCGCGACAGTGGGCTGCAGGCGTGTCCGCTGAGCAGGGTTTGTGGGCAGCAGGACAGGGAAGCTGGGCACTGTGGGGTGGCGTGGGTGTGGACTGCTCCTGAAGTGGCTGAGGGCACAGGCAGGAAGGCAGGGTGGCAGCCGGAGCTATGAGCTTGGCCGACATGCCGCGGGCAGCACCGAGGTGGCTTTTGTCCTGGCTCTGTGTGCCCTGGGGTTCACAGCCGGGGCTGGCCCCTGGGACCTGCGTTCAGCTCTGGGAAGTTCCTGGGCCTCCCCCCAGCATCCCCTGCTCCCCAAGGAGCAGCCCTTCTCTGTTCTTATAATATTCCCAGGGTGAGATGACACAAGCCCCTTGATCCCCTAAGCTTTGTAGGTAATGAGCTCCCTGCCAGCCCAGCTCATGACCCACTCCCTGCCCTGGGGAGCCGGGCCCCACCCCCAGAGCAGGTTACAACAGCAGGCAAAACCCCTGGACCAGGGCCGGGTGCCAAAGCCGGGCCCCTGAGGCCACCTGGCTGAGCAGGGAGTGGCTGAGCGGGGCTGCTCCAGATTCAAAGCTCAGCAGCTGCCTGAGGCCCAGAGGAGTGGGACCTGCATCTCCTCAGCATCTAGGCCATGTGAGGACAATGTACCGTTCGTCCCCGGGCCGCCTGGCCGATGTAGACGCAGCCCTGTCAGCTCCCATTACCCTGTACCCTGACAAGCACCGGGAACCTCGTCTATAAAATGCAGGGTTGGAAAGAAGCCGCCCACGTCTGAAATGTGGGGCTCACTGTGAGATTGAAGCCCTCCCCCACACATACTTGGGAGGACAGTAGTCCCCATCCGAGAACTTCACCAGCTGTTTCCAAAAAAAATCTTTTTAAAAAAATCCGGTTGTCCTGGCAGTGTTTTAGTGGGGCTTAAAGAGTGGCAGGGCCCAATAAGGGGCCATTCACTGTTCCCAAGGGACAAGGGACAGATGAGAGGGTTAGGGATTGTCAAGGAAAGGAATTTACACTGCTCTGTGTAAGAGATACTAGTGGCCAGAGACGGACAGACAGACCAACAGGGCACAAACTCTGAAGGGTTAGGATCAATGATGTCCTCCCAAAGCCACCCCCAACTGATTATATAATCTTGAGTAAAAAGAGCGTGTCTGCATGTTTGGATGTCGCAAGTCCCAGAGCTGCCTGCCAACCGCTTGCAGGTGTAAGGCTCTCGGAGCCCCCACTGGGTTTCACTCCACAGTCTTTGAGAATTACTGTGTTCTCTTGTCCGGGGCAGGTGGGCAAGTAAATGAGAAAGGGAAGAGGGGACAGGAGAGAGAGACATCATGGTAATTATCTCCTACAGGACATGAAAAGTGTATGGATGGATGATGGATGAATGGATGGATATATGGATGGATGATGGACGGATATATAGATGGATGATGGACAGATGAGTGGGTAGATGAATGGATGTTGGATGGATGGATATATAGATGGATGATGGATGGATGAGTGGATGGATGGATGATGGATGGATGGATATATGGTTGGATGATGGATGGATGGATGGATATATAGATGGATGATGGATGGATAAGTGGATGGATGGATGTTGGATGGATGGATGGATGGATGCATGGATGGATGCATGGATGGATGCATGGATACAGGGCTGGCTGGCTGGCTGGTGGATGGATGAATGAATGGATAAGTAACAGTTAGATGAGTGGATTACATAGGTGGTAGGTGTTCACTACCCTGGAAATTACACCCAGTGCCATCCTGGAGCTCAAGGGTTTAGAGCCACAAGCTCAGGCTACAACGGGAGGGGCACAGCAGTGGCACAGCCGAATGGAGGACCTCGGGATAGAACATGAACACAAATACTCTGTCCTTTACTAGAACCCTAGAGGGAGCTTTCCTCACATGGAGAGAATAAACCCCCTACAGGATCCCAGATTCTCAGGCTCTTTGGGTCCCGCAGTTCTGGGATTCCATGCTCTGCAAGCCCACACTGCTAAGAGCCTGCACCCTTGGGCCTCCGAGTTCCCCAAGGTTGCTGTGGTTCTGTGGCTCTGTGCCCATGCCCTTCTGCAGGCCCTCTTCCTGCACTTCATGAAGGGACACGGCCAGAGAAACTGATGAGCAAGGCACATGCCAGACCTCTGCTGGTGCTAGGTGCTAGTGCTAGGTGCTGGTGCAGGCAGAGATCCTGTGGGGCCTCTCTCAGGGGAGTTGCCTGCCAGACCTGGGAACCGGTGTGTCTCTCCTGGCCTTCAGGAACCCGGGGCTCCCGTCCAGCCATTCCCGGGGAACAGGCTAGGTCCCAAGGCAGGGAAGGGCCACCCATGTGGCTGCTCCCTGGATTTGCACTCTGGTAGAGCAGGAAAGAGAGGCCCCACACTGGTGGCCAGGGTCCCAGGGCATGAGCTCGACAGGTGGGGCTATGCCAGGCCCTGGGAAGCAGGTGAGAGAGACCTGTGTCTAGGCCTGTGGCCCTGTGTGTGAAGGTGAGTCTCCTGCACGGGAGGGAGGAGTAGGAAGGCCTGGGCGTGGGGTAAGAGCCCCAGGGCAGCCGGGACGGAGTTGGGGGAGGAGGGCAGGCCCAGCTCTCGTTCCCACTGGCTGGCTGGGTGATCCTGGGCAAGGCCCTGCCCTCTCTGTGTCATCTGAGGGAGGCCCTGTCAGTGTGTGCAGGTCCGTGAATGGAGGGACAAGGCAAGCCCTCCCCCAGGGCAGCATGACACTGTATCCTTCCACAGCCTGACTCACGGGGTAGTCACCTCAGCCCTGTGGGGAAGAAGGGGTGTGCCATGCCCAAGGCCCCCCAGGCCCAGAGCCAGGCCCCGACCCCCGTCCTTGCTCCATCCTTCAGGAGCTCCATTCTTTGGCTTCCCCGATTGTCCCACTCACATGGGGCCCACTTGTGTGTGCCTCGCCTCCCCAGCTCATCTGGGGGTCCCGAGGGCTGGCCCTGTCTCTCCTGTCTGTCTGTCACGCCCTGAGTGTGTGGTCCATGGCGGGTCCTGCTAAATGAGCGAGCGAGCGGGCAGGTATGGTGCCTCCCTATGTGCGGCCAGCCAGCACTCGCCCATAATGCACCTGGAAACTGAAGAAGCCTTGTCTGCAGGCCCCAAGGTGTGGGGGCGCCTCCAGGGAGGGAACCCGACTTGCCCATCCTGGTGCCCACCCTCAGCCCAAGGCAAGGCCCGGGAACCCCCTAGGCTGCATTTTCAGAAGGTCTGGAGTGGCCACTGTCTGCGCTGAGCCAGGCGCTTCCCTGTCTGGGCCACTCGCCCCCTGTGTGGGACCCCAGGCCTTGATTCCGGCCCCTCCCCCACTCCAAGGCCGAGCCCCTGGGGAGCAGTAGGAAGGAGGGCGGGGGGGGGGGGGGGGGGGGGGGTGGGGGGTTGTGAACAGGGAAAGCAGGAGGCAGCAGAGGTCTGGGCTTGTCCTGGCACCTGGCTTCCGGCCCGCTGAGTTCAGGAAGCAGGAGGGCTGAGGGGTGGGCTGCTCGTACTCCCGACCCCATGCCCCCCAAGACCTCCTCTAGACTTTGTTTCTGCTGCCAACGTTCTGCTGGCACTGTCAGGCCCAGGGACCTGGCTGGGTCCAGGGACTGGGTGAGAGGGCTTGCGTGCTGGACAGTGGCAGCTTTCTGCAGACGATGAGGGGGCAGGAGGATAGGCCACACGATGTGGAAGTGTCAGGGGCTGGCGCCAGCGGGGCCCCCTCAGAACCTCACTTCCTCACCAGTAAAAGGATGTTGGAAGGGGCCAACTCAAGGGGCCATGACAGCTCCTCTCTCCCCTGAAATCTGCCTCCAAGATCAGGGCAATCAGGTCACCACCTTCAGGAAGCCCTCCCTGACTACACTGTCCGATGACTCCCAGGTCTCCGAGAGCTCCTGCCATGGAAATCGCCCACTTTCTCGCACAAGTAAACTGTGTCTGACGCTGCTGTTGATGGTCCTGCTAGGAAGCCCCCGGGACAGGCAGCTCACATCTAGGTGGGCAGCCCTGGCCCTCACTGGCAGTCCTGTCAGAGACAAGGCTTTCTTCCCATGGAACCAGAACCTGGCTGCCACCTCTGCTTCAGTAGGTGTCTGTCCCTGCCTGCAGGGCGTGCGGCCAGTGAAGCCTCAGGTGCCCCATGAGGATGGGCCAGGGGTGCAGGGGTGCCCTCCAGCCCCAGTGAGGGGAGCCTGCTGCCCAGCAGCCTCACACCCAGACTTCCACTCCTGGTCTGCCCAACACCCCTGGACCCCTCAGCTCTACCAGGCCCTATGGGAAATCCAATCCCCCAAACCCGTTTTCCTAGTAGCTTCCATGCCCCCTGGCCTCGGTGAGTCACCCCTCCCCACCTGTGATTCCTACCCCCCCACCCCATGCCAGTCACCACTCTGTCACCGAGCCCTACGTCCTGGTTCCCGGGGCCTCTGGGGCATCCTCCTTCTACCGGCCCATGAAGGGCTGTGCCTGATGAATTCCAGGCCTCAGAGCTTGGAGTGACTTCCTCTCTCTGGGTGAGGGCACAGGTCCCCCATACTAACTGCCTTGTCAAGAGAGACCCCAGCTACCCTAAATAAGACCCAGGGAGCCTGGGACCAGCCGTGGGACAGGCTCAGGATGCTGATGTGGGGCTGCCTCAGGGGCTCCTGCTTGCACCCTCCCTGCTCCGCCAGGGTCCTGGAAGGAACGCCACACCAGCCCTGCACCTCTGGCCAGGTCTCACCAGGTCCAGTAACATCTTTAGGGAGGGCGGCCCAGAGTGTCAGGCAGCAGGTCCCTGGACCCCTGGCACCATGAGGCAGCCCACCTCGCCCAGGTGAGGCCCGGCTCAGGAGCTGGCTTGTCCAGGCCATGCCAGGAGGAAGGGTCAAGGGCTCCCAGAGCTCCCCGGCCTGAGCCCCCAGTGTTACCAAGAGCTGTAGGCTGGCTCTGCCCCCTGCCCTCCCTCCAGCCCAGGGCCACCCTCCCTGCAGTAGGTCCTGCCCCTCCAGTTCTGAGCTCTGTGCTCAGAGCTCAGGCCCGACTCACCGTCATAGTCAGCGTGGTCTGCCAGGATAGGGTCAGGGGGAGGCCTCTGTAGAGCTCCCCTCCACAACCCAGTGGGGTCCGCCGGGCACAGGAAGGTCCCAGGGCCAGCAAGCGGACAGGGAAACCTTCGGGGAAGGGAGGGCAGTGCCTGTGCTCAGGGGCCAAGTCTCCCCCTGCCTCGGGCACTGTGAGACAGTGAAGTTGGGGGGCTCTACCCAGCACTCACCGCCCCTGGTCCGGAAGAGCTCACTGCCCTCAGAGACCAGAGCAGGAGATGGAGGGGCCTGGTCCCAAAGCAGGATGAAGGCTGCTTCCCCTCCAGGATGGCCGGGGGCTGGAGCGCGGCGGAAAGACAGGGCTGGTGGAGGCAGGGCTGGTGGAGACCCAGGGGCCCTCAGTTTCCCTTGAGTCTCTGCCTCCACACCCTTCCCTCTCCCATCAGCCCTGCCCCCACCCCTCTCCCAGATGTGCCTGGTCCGGCGCTCGCCTCTCTGCAGGCACATCCACGCGCTTGGCCTGCTGCCCGCCCGCTCCCGGGAGGGCCTCTTCCTCCCTACCCCGACATCCTGATACCTCAGCAAGATGCCCTGCTTCCATGGGGGTCCTCTTCCCAGGGCTCCATGGGTGGACCTAGCAGTCCTGAGCCCCGAGCCCAGGAAGGCAGGGCCAGCGCCTACTCCTGCCTCGCTAGCCCCGGGGGCACAGCCCTGGGCACCCACAAGGCACCTGCTTAGGCTTGTGACTCTGTTGACCTTATCTGAGGGTGGGGGGTGCAAGGGAGGGAGTGGAAGGTCCGACACAAAGTGATCTAGGGACGGACAGAGAGCCAGAGAGAGGGAGACAGGCAGTAAGCCGCAGAGTCAGCTGAGGCTTCTGTCCGTAGCCCGGAGATGGGGGAGGGCAGACCCCTGCCCTGGGGGGTAGGCAGCCAGGGGTCAAGGTCCCTCCAGGTGGCCGTGGCAGGGGCAGCCGGGCGCTGGGCTGGTGGGTGTGGGCCAGCCAGGGTGGGGCAGATGGAATGCCGCCCCCTGGCTGGCTGCCCACCTTCACCCCTCCCACCAGCACCTGTCCCAGCTATAAAGCCTCCAGAGAGGAGGGGCCCCACTGCTCCCAGAGACGCCCCAAGATGAAGACAGCCCTGCTGCTCCTCGTTGCTCTGGCAGTGGCTGCCGGGCCAGGTGGGTGAGGGCCTGGGGCGGGGTGGGCAGCTGGGACCCGTGGGACACACACAGGAGGCTGGCAGTACTGGCCTTCAGGCTGGGAGCCTCCTGGACTCCCGGGTTGCTGGACTCAGAATTTAAAACCAGGGGCGCCTGGGTGGCTCAGTCGGTTGAGCATCTGCCTTCGGCTCAGGTCACGATCCCAGGGTCCTGGCACTGAGCCCCGCATCAGGCTCCCTGCTCCGCGGGGAGCCTGCTTCTCTCTCTGCCTCTGCCTGCCTACTTGTGATCTCTCTCTCTCTGTCAAATAAATAAATTAAATGTAAAAAAAGAAAGAAGAATTTAAAACGAAATGAACCTACATCTTAGCTTAGTGGAATCAGACTTCAAATATCTCAGAATCAGCACCCGGGATCCGACACTCAGAGCGGGGAGAGAGGCGGGGAACTGTCCCGAGGTGCCCCCTCCACCCCCACCGCCACCCCCCGGGAAAGACCAGCCGCCAGGTCATCCAGCCCCTGACTTTCTGTCCCCAGGGCTACCCCTCCTCCCGCAAGCTCAGCGTGCTCAAGCTGAAGCCCCCGGCCCTGACTTAGCTTCAGGTCCTCATGACCATTGCTGCCCACTGGGGACAGGCTGTGGGGAGCGGGACAGTAGTCGTGGGCTCTGAGCTGCTCTTTGCAAGTCTCAGAGAGAGCTCTGTGGTGCCCCTGTGGAAGGGTCCCCAGTGTAGCCCACGCCAGCCACCTTCCCAGCAGTTCTCTGCACACACCCAACACAGGCACCCCCTCCAGGCACGAGTGGTCCCACGGTCCCAGCCGTCCAGGACTGTCGCCTCCCGACTCCTCCGGAGGTTGTGCGCAGGACAGGAGCCCCCGCAGGGCCCGGAGGCCCCAGAGGGGCCTGGTCGGTCTAGGGCAGGGATGGCAGAGGGCAGTGTCCAGACAGTGACCCCAGGCCTCCCTGTGTCCCTCGTGCCCCCCCCCCCCCCAGCCCGTGCTCTCCGCTGTCACGTCTGCTCCAGCTCCAGCAACTGTGAGAACGCCCAGAACTGTCCGGCCAGCGCGCGCTACTGCAGGACCAGCACCAAGAGTGAGTGATCCGGGAGCGCGGGGCCGGGGCGCAGCTCTGTCCAGGCGCCCCGGGGGTCAGGGGACCATGGCCGGAAGGCTGGTGGGAGGATGTCGGTGACGAGTGGGTTGCGGTGGCGACGGGGGCCGGAGCAGGGACTTGGGGTGCCATGGAGGCCGGCTGCATGGGCTGTGGGGTTCAGAAGCCGCTGCCCAGCCTGACCGCGCCCACGTGTTGCCAGTGGAGCCCCTGATGGGGAACCTGGTGGAGAAGGCCTGCGTGGAGTCGTGCACGCCCATGCACAGCCTGCCGGGCCAGGTGAGCAGCGGGGCGGCCACCACCCTGTGCTGTCAGGACGACTTGTGCAACCGGAGTCTGCAGAGCCGCGCGCCCGCCCGCACCCCGCTCCCCAGCACTGCCCTCGGCTTGGCGCTGGCCCTCGGCCTCCTCGCCCTCCTCGTGGCCCCCAGCCTGTGACCTCCTGCGAGCAGGGGCCCCCATCCCTTTCCCAGGGGACTTCCATGCGCCCGGTCCCTTCCTTTCCCTGCCCTGGGGGGACTCCGCAGCCCCTCCCATGGGCGCCGTGAGGGGGAGGTTGGGACACCCCGGGCTGAGCCTGCTTCTGAAGTTCTGGGGGCCCCCTCCCCCAAGACAGGAGGATGTAACCTCCCTGAACAGCAGGAAGGCAGGAGGCAGGAGGCATTCTGACCCCTTCTGATTTGACATTAATTCTGTTCCGTTTCCGTTTGTTTTTCTACTTGCATAGGAATAAATGCCTGAAAATCAGCGTGGTTGTGTTTGTGCTGTATCCGGGGTACAGGAGGTGGGGAGGAGGCCGCCTGGCCACATAGGCCCCCAGCTCCTGAGGCTTGTCACCTGGGGCCAGTCTTGGCGACACGCACGAGGCCTGAAATGCCACTGTCACTCCTCACCTTCAGAGGAGACACAAGCCTCCCCAGGCACCCTCTCTGCAGCCCCAGAAGGGAGGGGCGCTCCCGGGGGGTCCTGAGTAGGAGCATAGGACAGAAGGCTTGGGTGCTCTTTCTGGCACCCAGCGCAGGTGGTCAGACACACATACACACACACATACCATCCCCACCCTGGGGAGGCTGGCCAAGGGGGCTGCTGAGCTCACCTGGACGGGGTCAACCCAAGGTAGGTAAACTTACCTTGGTCCTACTGCCTGGATCTGGGCCCTACTGCCTGTGTTTCGGGTCCCACT